TAATCTTTGCAAAGTGCTTAAGTTTCATGGTCAAAGACATTAAGCACATGTTTATATCCAATTCAACACCATTATTAAGGATTTTCAACAGGATATGAGCAAAGCAAATAAATTTGGAAAGCAGCTGTTTGACAAGTGCTGTGACTGGCAGTAAGGACATCCAGCAATAGCACAAACAGGGCTGTGATATTTTCACTGTATGGTAACACCAGACTGCATCAGCAGGTATTGTTATTACTCCAACACCCTGTGGGCCAGCACACTGTCTCTTTCTCACAGCAGTCAGAGAAAATGTCTTTTTTCTCAAATTACACTGTTGAATGAAGTGACTTCCATTTTCACTAAATTCTCCAGTTCACTGTTGAGCAGCTCCATCAAAGGTGGTTTTGCTCAGGTACCAGAACCAAGAGAAGAGAGATGTGACATCCCATTAGCTATGAGAATGACTCCAGACACCACCTTCCTGCTGCTGCTCTGCATTCTTTTTTTTTTTTTTTTATTTGTTTCCCTGTCCTTGTAGATCTCCTTTGAAGCCTTTAAAAAAGGTCTTCTTATTTCTTTAGAGAAAATTTGTTCAAAATTCTAATGCACAGGATAGGCTTTTTGAGTTGTTTATCCTAAATTCTGTGTGTACAGAGAAAGTGTGAGACACAGAGATGTGCCTGTGTCTGAAGCAGATGAACACCTGCAGACATAGAGAGTCTCCCAGCTGCCATTTCACACAGTGCAGTATGTGTGAAATGGTCACATTTCAAGAGAATCTACAGTTTATTTATGCCAAGTCCACTGTTTTTTAGAAGGTTTGATTGTTTTAAACCCTAGCATATGATTATATTCTTTTTCTCTCTTATAGACTGATGGAAAGCCCAAATATCTTCACAAATGAGACATTGATGTTGATCTGGAATAGGCCAGATCTGTCTCTGACAAACCACCTTGGCCCTAAAACTGAGAGAGAATAATGGTTCAAGTCTGTCATGAGATGGCAGTTCCTCTATTTGTTTCCCTTGCTTTGAGGAGTGGGGGTGAATCTGAGGCTTTGTTCTGACAGTGAAGGGCTGATAGTGTTAAAGCCATTTGCAAAAAGACTCTTGACTTCCAGTCTAAAAAACCTGGGCTATTCTCATCCTAAACTTCTTCCCAATAGATTCTGCCAGTCATGACAAACCACAAAAATTTGTGGTGAATTTGTGATGTACAGAAAAGTCCACTAGGGACTAATTTGACACCATCAGATGCAATTTTGCTTTATTACCCTAAGGCAAGATTTAAACTAGTTTCCAGGGGTGAGAGGTTATTCCATTAATCGAGGGTGCTTGCCCCAGCAGGCTGCCACCTAGACAGTCTGGGCCATCATTAAATTGATATATTTCTCCTGTTTTCTTGGTCTTTTCTGGGGTTTTCATTTTAGGGTGGCACTTTTATTCTTAGTCTACAGATAGACACCTCTTTTCATAGTCAGAACAATCTCTACCAAAGCCTTCCCGGCAGCCTGTTTTTGCAGGAGAAAACTAAGATTTAGTGTCAGTCAGCTCATCAAATTCAGTTAACCCTGTGCTGTCTGGAGTGGAGGATGAGGAGAGCGGGGATCCTCAGTGAAGCTCAGATAACACAGGGAGGCAGAAATGAGTGAATGTGGAACACAGAGGCAACTCAGGCTCTGTAAGGCAGCGCCAGCCATCCCAAAACAGAGCTGCCTCTGCACACGCTTATCCCATAAGTACCTGGGCATCTGGAAAGAGATGAGACCTTTAGCACAGGGCCAGACTCAGCTAAGCCTTCATTTCTCCTGGTGCCTTCATGTGACCTTGTGCCCGAAGCACTGCATTGCTGGCATCTTGGCTCAGCACGAGGCTCTCCAAGTGGTCTCCCTGCAGGACCAACCCAGCTGCAGCAGAGCTTCTCAGCTTGGGGATTATCCTCAAGCAAAGCAGCTACCTGGCTTCTGGATCCCAGCAGGCACTGGAAGAAGTAGAGCCCTGTTCTCATGAGATGACTGCTGGGTGACAAGCCTTTGTCATAGTGTCTCTAGCCACAGCACAGCCACCCTGTCAGCCACATAAAAACTGAACACCACTAACCTAAACTGTGCAGAGGTTAATGCTGACCAACACTGGCTGGGATTGCAGAATCCTGTCTGATACCTGTTTTATACTCATTCTGGACCCAGCTGTACCAAAATCCACCACAAAAAGTTAATGCCACAAGTACGAATGGCATTTTCAAGAGTTCAGCTTTTCCCCCTGCTTTTGTTTCTTCAGAGTTTTCCTTCAGCTTCAACTTGAAGAAAGTGGAGTTTAGTTTAGTTCTATGTCTTTGTGCCACTCCTTTTCACACAGGCACTGACTGCCAGGGAACAAATTGCTTGTGTGAGATTTTGCAAAGGATAGGAGAGCTCCTCAGTGGTTTTGGTAATGAGCCAGAAAAGCAAGGACAAAAATCCTGAGAACTTTACTCTTTAATCCTGGGTAGGAGACAGGATCTTCTTTTAAGGTTCTGTGTGTAAGTGGTTTAGTTGAACCAGGGAACTTTTGGTGCAGCAGAGACATAACAGCCCTGAATACTGCAATGTTTGTCTTTGGCAGTAATTTGGAAAAGGCAATGCAGAGGCAGGAACTAGAATCCCCAGGAGGCCAGATGCAACGTAATCTGCCCCAGTACAACATTCTCTGTGGTTTTAATAGCTGGCATAAATCCCAACTACTAAGGTAGTTCCACCTCTTTTAAAATGCCTTTTTAGTTGTCAAGAAGAGCTGTTAAGTGAATTCAAATGAGCTAGTATAAAGAAATTAAATAATATTTATATAGGACTTGGATAGGTTTGACTTCACCTCTTTAACTAAACTGGGTGAAGGCAGAATGTTGGAAACTGATGATCACTGAGAAATAATCTAGATGAGGAATGCTCATTAATTTTAAGTTAATTATCTATCCCTAAAGGGGTTTTAATATTTTTTTTTAATATATGTGGAAATTCTTGTCTCGAGGCAGAGAGCTCCGCAGTCTGGATCACCTGAGAGTACAAATCTGGGCCACAGTACTTGTGATGACAGCATTGCATTTCTATCATTTATTAGCATCTCATGGAGCTAATGCTAATCCACTGTCCTTCAAAAACTGCTCAACAGCCCTGATTTTTGCCATATGTTCTCTGCCTTTTCAGCCCTCCAACGCCCTGTGGGATGCAGACCCCATTGCCATGTAAGAGTGCTTGCAACACACTCCTCCACAGGAAAAATAGGCTTGGATGCATTGGCTTTCAAGATCAGCAATTCTTTGAGGAAAAAAAAAAAAAAAAACAACCAACAAAACAAAACAAACAAAAAAACACACACACACACACAAAAAAAACAAACAAGAAAAGCTATTTAAACTGAATTACTGGCATTATTATTATTTTCACCTCTCCACAACCTAGCTATGACTTCCAGTGAATCCTGAGTTAAAAGTTCATAATTCCAGCTGAACTTAATGGGAGTATTTACACAAGAATTGTGTTGCAATACCTAATAAGCTTGGTTGTGGGGAAATCTCTTTTGCTCTGTCTGTACTGATTTTATTCTATAGAACATTCCCGCTGCTGTAGTTCCACCAATAAGAGGGAATAATTGTAACACTGCTGTGACTGATCACTACTAATTCAACAACCATATATATCTTCTGTTCATGGCCCAGGGCAGATTGCAGTGTTTGCATGTTGGTGGCTGCTGCTGCCTTGTCCATCACTATCACAACAGAAGTTCTGCTGGGAAGCAACTCATAAGAAAAATGAGATTTTCATCAGGTCCTCTATGTCTCTACTTTCTTCATGGATGTGATAAAAAAAGTGATATTTTTTTTGAGGTCACTGTGAAGACTAACAAGTAAACACTTATAAAGGACTTTGAAGATGAAAAATGTGAAATATTCCACTTAGTTATTAAAGCATGGATGAGGCCAAAGCAATGACCAGTCATCTAATTTGAATGATATATTGTTTTATAATGTCCTATTGATGCTGGGTTTTTTTTTTAAATTTGATGGGCAGCAGCCAATCTCTGCACATAAACAGTAACACCAGGATCTGCACGTCATCTTTATAAACTTTGGAAAAATTATTCATCTCTTTTAATAATGAGAAGAAAAAAAAATAAGGAAGAGAGAGAAAGAAAGAGAAAGAGAGAAAGAAGAGAGAG